GGTCTTTCATCTTACATCTGCCTGTGAGCAGTTTGGAGGTGCAAGATACCTGAGCGTGTAATGTTAATTTTACCTGTGATCCTTTGAATAAATCAGCACTGTTTTGAAGTTACTTGGACTGTCTCGTCTCTCAGAGTTAGCAATGGTAAGACGAACCGAAGACCTACTCAAATAAACTGCATCCAGGCATGCAGACACGTGCTCACACACAAACATAAAGATTAGACTTTGTACCCTTTTTCAAATTTAGTAAGACCTGGTTTGAACAGACAGTAATATCATCATCTGGACACAATTAATCTGTTTAATATAACTTAAAGAAAATCTAACTATACCTAACAAATACAAGTGCATACTTTCTGAAATTGTTATAAAAGCCTGGTCAAATCTCTCTCTCGCTGGTAGTATCAGCCAATTATAGAAAGAAGCGGCCATTAAATTAACACTTGGAATGTGAAAGATTTTTCACTCTGATGTAGAATGCACTTTGGAAAACAAATGTCAGACCGTAATTTGCAATTTCACAGGGAGTCACCTGAGTTTTGGGCAAACAATAGACTTTAACCGAATGGAAGCACAATGGCATTGTAAATGTTAAAATGTGTTGATAAATGTCACAGTTCTTTTACAGAATATTTGTAAATGCTATCCATACAAAAACTTTGAATGAATAACACATGCCCACACTAAGTTCGTTTTAAACTTGCCACAATAGCCAACACCTACACCTTTTTTTTCATTGATGCGAATTGAAGATTGGCATTTACCCCAAACACTACTTTAGTATCTAAGTGGAAGGATTCAAGGGAGTGCCACCAAAACCAAATCTGTGAAAGAACAGCCACAAAAGACAGATAAACCCAACACCACAGAGAGGTGAGCCAACTGTTCCAAGTCTCACACAAGGGGAGGAAGAAAAAGGGAGGGGGTGGAGAAGATAATTTAGCATTTGTGTAAGCTGTTTATCAAATCATTAACTGCACAGATGTTTCTGACTAGCTAGGGGCTGAACATGGGTTCTGCCAGGCAGGGGAACAAAGGTCTGAAGGATTCAACAGAGATGTGCACTGAATATCAATTTAATTTACTAGCTGTTAATTCTTATGCAAATTGTGACCCCTGTTAGGGCATATCAATGGCCATACACATAATACGTCTTCAGAGCAGCAGCAGGGACAAACATTGTACAAAATTACATATAGGGAAAACAATATTTTCAGTGCAGCCATTCATGCAGAACGATTTGAAAAATGTATGCATGGCACTTTTTTGTTTTTACCGATAAACAGATGAAACCTACTTTATCATCAGAACTGGGTTTAGGTGGAGGCGTTTGAGCTGTGTTTCTAACTGGGAAGCAACTATACTGTAGATAATTCACTGTGGAGTTAAAATGAATGTTCTTTAAGAGATACAGTGTGGAAGAGGAAACCATTTGTGAGACCAGAGGCTTTACTAGGCATTTATGCAAAATGACCGAACTCATACTCACCAACATGTATTGAGTCCAGCTGCGACCAGGCATTTCACAGTAACTGAAGTGTCTTTACTGTGATGCAATCTCACTCATAGTGCCAGTACATCTTGATGACTTTTCTGCCTGATACACAAAGTAAGGGGAGAGCAACACAAGCATATTAAACTGTGTGAATGCTGTTTGTATTGTGAACAATAATCTGCTGAAAATAATTATGAATGCAGAGTATGATATCTAGCAAAGGTTGATTAGTGGCATCGGCCTCAGCTGAGTTCAGCTATAACAGCAATGTTGCAAGTCCCATTTTCTTCATCACCTCCAAAGGGCCGCCTTTCAGCTCTCCACAGCACAAACAAAATGCCTGGCAACAATATCAATTATACATGCAGGAGGCAAACAAGGGGATTTATTTCACAACAAATAGCCTCATAGAGTGATGCTGAATGGGCTACATTAGCATTAGAAAAGGACAACAAAACTCCCCAGTTCAACAGCTAAAGAGCAATTTGATGAGACTGGAATTGGGAAAAATGCTTGATTTGGGTGTGCATTTGGATGGTTTGTCAATTTCAGAATTCCAGCAAGGATATACAATGTCATGCTTTGATAAAATGATGTGCTGCTGCAATCAAACCATGACCTTATGAGAACTGTCAGTGGTGAACTTTGATAATGCAACACAAGATGTGTGAAGGATACAGAACCATCGATCTGTATCTGACAAAGATGAGGAAAAATAATGAAATAAAGACAAAAAAAAAAAAACATTGTGATGGCTGGTATTTAGCCCAGTCTGTCCTTGTCTGCAAATGTAATGTTTTGTGAACGGTGATGTTCAGTCTGTCCTAGAAGTATATATTTGTGATATATATAAACATATATTTATTCTGATAAGCAAGTAATTACTAATATGGACACTCACCAAGCACTTTATTAGACAAATGAATGCAATTCCATTCAACAGCCCTGCCATGACATAGCTTATGAAGCTCATAATGTTTATTAGAAATGTATTGATTCAATAAATATATGTTTATCATTAAGGTCACAATGAAAGGTGGTTTTGGACAAAAATATATAGACACCACTGAATATAATGGATTCCAGTACAGTTCACTAAACCTCCATAATAACAATATCATTGAATTTACAAATTTCAAACAATGTCACCAAAAACTGAAACACTGTGAAGTTCACAGACAGATGTTATGGCAAAGCCGTTGTATTAGATAGCATCCAAATCACAGACGTAGCCAACCTAATAAAGTGTTTAAGAAGTGTAGAATTACATTATAGCTAGTTTTACATTTTCTAAAACAGCCTAACGCTAAATATTAAACAGCTTGTTGAAGAAAATACTACAGTTTATCTTACCAGACACTAGGGTTTATAGGATTTATGTGACAACAAGATTACATCTTTGTTGTGAACAACCATTACTTGCTTTAAAAACCCTGAGAGCTCGCGCCCGTATTCCTATCGCACCACGTGCGTTTTTCAGCAGGGATTTGTGGGAAGTGGTGCTCATGGTAACCAACGTAAACACCAGCCACCCTCCTTCTCCTCCTCTTCCGCTGCATCCCGGTTCTTTAGCAGCACCAAAGCGGGTGAAAATGGCTGGCTTGGCTCGCAGCGAGGACCAGTATTATGAAACGATAACACCAATTCTGCAAAGCATGCATAAAAGGTGAGATGTCCTTGTTTTTTGTTTTGCTTTTTACTAACGGGGACATGGCATGGTGGACACCGCGAGCTCGAGCTGTGATGTCCATTGCCCGGTAGCCGTCTTCCTGTCGCAGGCTAGCTACTTGGCTAAACAGTGAAGATGCCGTATTGCTACCGGTAGCTATTTCATTAGGGTGTTTACTTATGGCGCTACCTTTAGCTAACAGCAGTAAGGTTAACGGAAGCTGTACATGCAAAACTACTAACTTATAGTAGTAACGCTAGTTGTTGAAAGCTAACCCGATTGGCGTCAGCGTTTCTATTAAACCTTTTGTATGCTCTTACATTAACAGAATGGATTACAGTTTTTATTGAGTAAACAGATTCCTAAGTACAGTTAATTTTACCATCAATTAGCAAACTGATGAAATGCTGCAGTGGTGTGTGTGTGTGTGTGTGACAGTTATTCTGACTTGTGTGTGCAGTGAGAAACGGAGACTGGAGCTGGAGAGAGAACTGTTTGCCTACTCCAGATCTGATAAAAGAATGTGAGTTAAACGGATTACCATGATGTTACTCGGTCCCCACTGTGTTCATATTCAGTTTCTTTTACAAATGTACTGTGTATGTAATCACTATGCATAGTGTACACTGCATATACTATAGATGCACAGCCATGTTTCTTGTTCATTTAGAAAATGAAAAACGGTCCAGGCATTTGTGTCATCTGAAATATGTTATTCAGCAAACATAATAATGTTGTACTCAAGTGTGTTACATGCATTGTACCGCTTTGGGTCTAAACAGAACGGCCTGTGTTCATTGTAAAGTGATTCTCATAAATATTAATGCCAGGTCAAAACAGCAAAGTTTGGGCTGATAGGAGAGCTGAGAATAAGATTGAAATGTAAAACATATTGTGCTTAACCTTTTACTTGTGAAAAGTCAAGCTCTTATTTTTTGACAATGCTCATAGATAATACTTCTTTTGAATAATAGTTCTCCACTGCCTTCAGCTCACAGATAAAGTGTTCCAAACTGCGCAGCTATCTCAAGGAAATCTGTGACAGGGAAGCACGAGCAAAAATGAGAAACCTTGAGCTTCTGAGAGATGTGGAGTGCATAGAAATTAGCATGAAGGAGTACAGTCCTGACCGTGGCCCCCTGCAACAACAAAGGGTATAACACAAACACACGCAGGCACATAATTTCAAATATCCAGTGGAGTAGTTTTTATAATTGTCATTTTCTATTGAAAGGAAGCTGAACAAACACTCTGTCCGCTGTGGGTGATCCACATTTAGACAGCTGTACATTTTTTAAAAACCGTATTTAAAATGTAATAATCCTTGATGCGTTTTTGAGCCTGTGTGTTAGAAAAACAGGTTACCAAGTGACATTAGAATCAGAGTGAATAACAACACTGAATATAACAGACGTTTTACAAGGAATATATATTTATTAACAAAGCATGTTCACATACATTTATCTTTATGCTGTAGTGTAGTTTTTAATCTGTAGAAATTGTAATTGCTTGATGTGACAATAGTAAACACTCAAACTGTTCAATTTATCATGAAAAGCAAATAAACGAGGGAGAAAACAATGAGCCAGTGAGATTATCACTTAAAACTCAACAACAGTGCTTGACAGCTTAATATCAAATTAACAAAATTGGCTAATTATGACTGGCTGAGTTAATTGCTCAATATAGAGACTCTGAAGTGCTCCAGAGGTTTAGTCATTCTCTCCCCTCAAGCAGTTGGTTTATTTCCTCTTGATGCTTTATGAGTCCTGCATGTTTGCTATCATTTTTATTGAACTTTTGTCTATGTTTTCACCGTATAAAGTCACCCTTTTTGGGGTTTAAATGCATGTAGTGGTTGTGTGGAACATTCAAATGCAAGAATGGATAAATGAGAAATTATGAAAGCTGTCATGCAAAATGCCTGATTCTCTAAATCGCCATGTTTAATGAAACGGTGAAGCATTTATGAGATAATCCAAGTGCCCTTAACACAGTCATTAGTTCTTTTTTTATAATCCAAATTAATAAATGTTGGAGTGAGTCAGTAGCTACACAGAGGACACTCCCTTAGGAGAAGCCTTTTCTGATTGACTCATGTTTAACCTTGTCAGATTTGCTTTTGAAATTTCTACTCTCACATGCAGATAATACTGAGTACTATAACAACATTCACAGCGTTATAACACACGATTTCATATCTGTCTGTCTGCCTATGAGTTTAACTTTACATCTCTTGCAGGCAGACGTTTTGAAAAAAATTTCCAGATTTATGGAAGCAAGAAAGAAAATGGAGCAAGAGCTCGACACAGTAGAGGTAATGCTAGTATGTACAATATAAAATGTAGATTAGTAATGTAGTCATAAGAAAAGCATTCATGTTTGGAAATGATATAATTATACATCATGACTTGTACATGTCACATCTTTTACTGTGTATTATGTGACTTCTGTTGTGTACTTCTATTTATACCCATCTTTGTGAGGTTCAAAATTATAAATAAATAAATGTCAGATCCTTCTTTTTATTTTTAAATGTTTACAAGGTTTCTGCAAATCTCAGTTCTATCAAGCTGTGTTTTCAGGTTTACAATAACAAAGGTGGTAAATCTGTAGAGGAGTTTATATTTAAACTGTGTATCTGTAATAGCACAGGTGTCTAATCCTAGCCGGTGCATCTGTACAAGCGATGTAGTTCAAGCCCATAGCTGCTTTCTCCCTTCACTTAAAGCAGTTAAAGCTCTTTTAGATGAAATGTCTAAGACATCTCATAATAACTTGGAGA